TTTTTTTTTTTAGTGGCGGAAACGGGCTTCCATAGGGTGTCCGTCTTATCAAATAATGATTACAAAATTTTGGCTCTTGACTTTGGACAGAAAATCACATTGGTATTATAACCAATAACTGATGAAGAGCAACCTGGCTTTTTACCTAACAAACATATTTCCAGTAATATCAGACTGCCTTGGATCTATTGGATTACTCATACTTCCAGATAATGGCTATATTCTGTTTTTAAATTTTTAGATAGGCCTTTGACACAGGTATACACCAGTTTTTACACCATTTATTTAAAAAGCATGGTTTTGGAGACTTTTTTTGCAACTCGGGTGTTATGTAACAATGCCAACTGCTGTATTACAGTTAATATGATGTGTAATTTGGCACCAGACATCATAATTTCATTCAATTTGATTTCATCATAACTTTTTCTTCTTGTTGCTCAGCTACTGTGGTCTCATATAAAATCTAGCAACTTACAGGGCATTTATATCACTAAAATGACAATTTTCATTAGTCAGCTTGCTAATAACACAACATTGTTTTTGTTTTTTTGTTTTTTTAAATATAACTCACAAATTTCTTTTGTTAAAATCATTGTCTAAAGCTTCTGGTCTTTTTCTTAAGCTTAAAAAAATGTGACTTAGGACAAAGGATTGTAATACTGACTCTATCTCACATATCCCTGTGAAAAACTTAATATTGAACTTAATGAATCACAGCAATGTTTCAATAACTTCAATCCCATAATAGAAAAAGTTTAAAAAAGAAGAAGAAGAAGATTAAACTCATGGTTTCTACAAGATTTGTCATTAAAAGGACAAATTCTGCTTTCAAAGTCTGAATCTCAAGACTAACATTCATCGCAAAATCTCTGCATGTTGACCCTTGTATATGTAAAACTACAGATAGAGCTCTGTTAGATTTTGGATGGAAGAACCAAATTCATTTTCTGAAAAAGGCTGATAACTTAAAGATTCCAACTTATGGAATTATAGTCCACATTATGCATTTTCATTGGTAAGTGGGGCCTTAATTTTTTGGGTCTGCAATTACAAAATTTTAACTTAAATATCTCTTAAATATATGCTATTTTGCTGAGAAATATTTATGATTGAGGGTATAAAGGGGACACTTACAAGTAAGAGTCAGCTTGATCCCTCTGGGCTCTATCCTGGCCATTTGTGGCCACTTCACTTTTGAAAGTTTTTTCAACCATTTTCGTTCTGTTAATGCCAGTGGAATGAAACTTTCCAAAGGTGTGTATTTTTTTCAGATTTTTTACTTTTCAACATCAGCTCCTTAATAATATCAATAATATTCACTATACACCAAATTGTTCCTCTTGACTCTATCGTGGCCATTTTTGGCCAATTGAAACCCATTATAACCACCTTTTTTGATTCCTTGTTATTGACAGTACTATGTCATGCGATTTAGGTAAAATTGCTTTCATTCTAAACTCAACACATGAAAATTATAGTTTTTAATGTTTTTTTTACCAAATTCCATCATTTACCCATTTTTGGCCAAGCAAGCAATTTCATGTAATATTCTGAGTTTCTAGTAGCGGCCTTTGATGGCTTACCACACTCCAATGGACCAAAATAATGAAACAATTTTGACATAGGTTTGATCTTAAGGATCTAATAGTTTGTGTTTGTGCATGACATTGCAG